GTAGAGCGTCGTCGTATCAGCCCAAATCGATTCCGACAAACCCACCGGGCCAAAGAGGGTCGCGGAGCGTGTTTGGTACAGGACATATGTCGCTCACCGTTGAACACTGTTCTATCAAAGTAGTTATCTGTGTATCTGAGAAAAGACTCCACTGCACTCTCTTTGATAACGATACTTTTGTAACCTTCTCGGATGCACTTTTGAATGCATTTGGTTGCATAGGCGATTTGTTGCTCCATCACGAGAAGAAGCGAACCTGTACCGACGCCAGATTGAGCGCCCAATACCGGGAAACTGTCCGGAAAGTCAGGACACAAGGCTCACCTACGATATTCAGAAGGATCTGCATCTTACAAGTTTGGCATCTGGGGAACGCAGATACCCAAGTATTGTCTTGGTTCCTTGGCCCAGAGATCCTGAAGATTCACGCCGTTTAAGCCTCGAATAGGAAAGGCAGGTACGGCGGATACGTCCTGTACACATAATCAACGATCCTGTTGCAGAATTGTTCCCATAAACTCATCAAAACCTACAAAACCTGTTGCACAGATGACGGCGTCGAACTCGTGCTCGCAACCGTCGACGGTCATCAGTCCTTTTTCAGTGAAAGATGCTATCTCCTGGGAACAGAAATCAACGTTTTCTGCTGAAAGGCATTCCAGGTAACCTAAAAGACATGTCAGTTCCTATTAGGTCATTACTTAAAGAGATGAGGCATGGCGAGAAAACGCAGCAGGAACCCCAGCAGTCGGTCTCACCTGGCCCTGGAGTGAGCCGCTTGCAAGCCACCGGGAAATCTGGTATCAGCTTCTCAGCAATCTCGGGTTTTGCTTCCAGCTTCTCTCGCATTGCATTTTCTGTTATTTTTCGAGCTTCGAGCTGTACCGGCTGGTTCTGTTGGGTGAGACTGTGGGCAGAGTTTAGCCCCCTTTCAAGTTGGCGTCGAACCTGCTGGTAGTAATTTTCATCTCTGAAGCGCTCCTTTTCTTGGACTGTAAAGGTGTCTAGTCACATGGTTAATAAATCTCATGCCTCAATAGGACTCGAATACTTACGGTTGCTGGCGCCTTTAGAACAGTCAAACTTCTCCATGACATCAGATACAAACGTCGACGATACCCAAGCTAGAAAGCCCGGTTGGTTAGCACGGACAGCATGCGGTATAATTTCTAGGCGAAACTCCATACTTTTGCTCCTCATAAAGTTGGTGACATGCTTGGCTTTTTTCTGCATTTGTGGCATGATCTGAATACCGCTGGACCCCTAGGTGTCGACGTGAGTGCATGTCATGTCAAAGCCACCGTCTCATACTCACTGCTCCAATAACGGCAACTCTCTTGTCTTTCCACGAAAAGCAGTCTTTCTTCTCTTCTTTGGCAGCATCCCAACCTGCGGAGTGATGGAGAAGGCCTTTGTAAGTTTCTCGCCCTGTAGATGGTGTTAGTGTGATGTGCCACCTCAAATTCTCAGACCTTTTTCGTAAATACAGGAGCATACCCTTAATGGAAGGCCACTTAGGCTTGGATAATAACCCAGTGGCGTACAGAATGAAGTCGGCCTCGTCAAATGTTTCTTTTCCTGTTTCAAGGTTTCGTATAGTGACGGCCCATTTGCCACTTTCCTGAGACCACGTTGCCCCAATAACTCGGTGTCTGAGCTTGATGAATCTTTGAAGTTGATAGTGGCCGACTACCTTTTTCAGATAGTTGTGGATCTCCTCGCCAGGGGCGTAGAACTTTGACCACTGCGTATTCTGGCAGAAGGAAAACTGGTAGCTGTGCGATGGAATATCACAGGCAACTCCGGCGTACCGGTTGTGGTGCCACACTCCTCCGATATCGTCGGCAGCCTCGTAGACCTGGAACTCAACATCACGAATATGCTCTCTTATGTGGATAGCAGAACCGATTCCGCTGAAACCAGCGCCAACACAAATGACTCGGACCTTGCGGTCCGCATCGATTGACCGTTCGAGGAGTGGTGCCGCCCACGAGTAATCAACCTGCGCCCTAGATCCATAAGTTGTATTAAGCAAGCTTTCGGGAAAAAGTAGAATCCTTTCATCGTTCGACGTACTGCGGAGTTTCCTCGTCAACAGAGTCGGGAGAGGCCCCGTCCGCATGCGACATAGGAACGTTTTGGGTCCGGATGTGGACAATAAAGGTAAGATGACCTAGCAAACTTTGAACCTTTTTGAAGGCAATTCTAGGAAACAGCAAAGACTGGAATATTTAAAGGAGAGGGATAGAAACAAGTCTTGAGCCAATCAAACTCGGGTCACTGATATTTTGGAAACTGGTTGGGGCAACTGGTCCGAACTCCAGCGTTTCAAGGTCCAAGTTAGCTCTGGCTTCGTTGATGGAGGAGAACCAGAAGGGAACTGAAACTAGAGAGCTCATTTTTGGACAAACGATGCCAGCAACTGTCAATTAAATAAAACCCCTCTTTGCTTGCCGATTGTTTGCCGAATCTGAGCCGACAATAAGTGATTCTCCACACATGACGAGTGGATTGACGCGGTTGTTTGTTGACTCTGTTGGTTTCATGTGAGGGGTAATGTGGCACAGACACTCACTGACTGCCACTCATATGGGCCGAGTGACAATCGTATTGTGTTGAGTAATTATTGGTAACGATACCTGTACTGTGTTTATCCAACTGTGTTAGAGTATCATTGTGTACATATGCGACCTTACGAGTGACCGCCTTAGATAACCATCTCAGTATGCGCCATACGAGGGTGCAAAAATAGAGATGATGCTACCTTTCTAAGAGGTGGTGTACTACAATGCAGCTTACATCTATTCAGAGCTGGTGGATGAGCTATCAAAGTTATATGCGATAGCAGCCTTGGAACTTTGAAGCCAACATTGGAAGGTTACAGTGCGCAACAATATACGTATATGTCAAAAATTGCAACGACGAAGGAAAAGAAGAAACATTGATAAAAGAACCATATAAACCAGAACTGTTTATTTTCAATCAACAGATATTCGTTGCTTGGTAGCTGGGTGCTGCGTGCCGTGCCGGCGAAGACATGAAGTCACATAACTTCCTCAGAGCTGCTTCGTCATTTGAACGCCTTTTCACCAGACACCTACCGAACCAATCAGGGAACAATAAAGCGTCCTACCCGGGAAAAGAATTGGGCCGCCCGATTGGCACTGCTGCCACAGTCTCGGCCAAACGCAGAGATCAGCCCGCACCTCGCACGCAACTCTTACCATAGGCCTACTTCTAACTAGGCAGGTCAACCACTCAGCGCTGCTCTTTCATGCTACCACACTGAGGACGACAGATTCTAAATGACCGTATTTATCAACTCAGTGTGATTATAAGTTACTGTGACTGAAACGATATCGAGGGGTTTGTGGTTTATGTTGATGAAGCTATCTGCCCATTGATAGTGTGACGTTCGACCAAGATGGTGCGAACCTGGAGTCAGGGTCCCCAATGCGGTAACTTCTGAGGAGAAACCCCTGACTCCCAGTATTCCACGACATAGAGACTGCTTGAAGATAGGAAGAATTCTTAAAATTTGGGACCTAGGGTACGGTCACCGCTTGTTGGGAGGCCGATTCGCATAATTAGTAACTTGAGGCTTACCAAGCACGCAACTGTTGGGAATCTGACAAATCCACGTTATGATACCGCTTCGGACGACTTTGGAGCTCAACTATAAAGCCAACTGTCGCCCTGGCAAGTCTTGCAGTTGCTATTCCCATTCAGCACAAAATCGTCGCCTCCACTGCCTCCGTCCCACTGCCCGTCAATCATCGCTTTGCCAAATCCCGCTTGTAACGCAGACATGTCATCTGTCACTGTTTATGACGCTGTTATTCCCCTGTTCATTAAGGGGCTTAAAACCTTCGATCACCTCCTAACCAAGGCTGAGGAATATGCCAAAGCCAACAACGTCGATGCCAACACGTATCCCGAGGCTCGTCTTGTCGAGGACCAGCTGTCACTTACTTTCCAGGTGCAAAACGCTACCAAGACCGTCAAAATGAACATTGCCAGCTTGACGGGCGTTGAGTTCGAGCCCTTCGAGAACAAGGAGAAGACGATCGAGGACCTGCACAAGCGTGTTCAAGAGGCGCTGGATTTGCTTGGAAAGGTCGATGCTGCTACTGTCAACGCCAAAGCCGATGACCAGGTTGACTTGTGAGTCCTATTCTCGTTTGTTGGCTAATAGCAGGACCTAACATAGTTGAATAGGCTGATTTTTAGTGTAAAGACGCTGAAGGTTTCTGCCAAAGAGGCGGCGTTAAGCCATGGTGTTCCAAACTTCTTTTTCCATTTGAACGCAGGGTATGTCATCTTGAGATCAAAGGGTGTGCCTGTGGGCAAGCTTGACTACCTTGGTGGCTTTTTAGACTTGTAAATCATGTTTAAAAGAATAAGGTCGAAAACCGAACAACTCCTCATTCACGATTGAACTATATATATATATATACATTACAAAGCGAGGGTTTATAAAATATTAACCGGCAGACGACGTATTCCAGAAATGGTTTGAGAATCCCCCTAGAGGAGCTCAGTAGGCAGACATCTATTATCCGGACTGTAAAGTTATAGGATAATATTAATATTTATGTTAGAATGTTAACACCATCTGACCGTACGACAAGACCCTAACTCAACAAGGCTTGACTAACGGTTACTAGATTGGATACTCAGACCAAGGTTATGTCTGGGCGGACCGAACGTACTAACTAACTCAGGAAGGATAGATAAGTATATATGTTTGTACGAACAGCTAAGTCTTGTATGTTAGTAGTCAGTTACAGATAATATATCTTTGGTTCACCCTATTATTATTTACCCCCTTATGTATAAGGGACTCTTATGGACAGGAGAGAGTCTATTTAACAGTTTATAATATAATAACTTAGAAAACAAGACTTACAATGTATCTATTATTTGCTGTGAGTAATTAAAACTAGCACCGACTCGATGTTACATTTGCTATAAACATGCGGGGGCTGATACTAAAAAGTCGACCAACCTGGGACTCGAACCCAGAATCTTCGGATTACACTTTAGTAGGAGTCCGACGCCTTACCATTTGGCCAGCCGGCCGTAAACTACATCCGAGGACATTGAAGGGCTTTACGATGCAATGGGAGTTACAAAATCTAATGGAAATGACACATAGGTGGAGAGTTATGCGTCGTTTAGCATACAAGTTGGGGCATGTCTTGCTGAAGTGGGTCTCAGTAGATATTCACAAGACAACGTAACAGGCATGCCTAGTATAAGGGAAACGTTAAACAGCCTTGTAAAGACATTATCTTTTCACGTTAATCTACTGCTTATATGTTTAGTTATTTAGTTAAAGTAGTTCTAGGGCTATAAGGCTTTCTGTCTTCTGATAACGATGCGCCTATCCTGACTGGTTAGCTTCAGCTAAAGTTAGTGTTAGTACATAGTAGAGACAGAGCCGCTCAGCCGAGATAAAGACCTACAATTATAGAGGGTAAGACTTATGTCGACACATGGCTATGTTGGAAAATGTTTCGTACGACTGTCAACCTGCAAGTTTGATTTGCCGTGATCTCGAACAAGAAGGCACCTGGTGCTGCTCAGAGAAGCAGATTCTATCTTTTCCACCCCGAATTCGATCCCGAGGAAAGAATGAGAAGCGAGGGAAGCAGACATATATAGGTACCGCGACCGCAGGACTTCCTGATCAACTTCCCACAGGGCATAAATTACAACTACCCGGGAAGCGCTATAATGTGGTTCCCTAAGAAGCCGTACGAGGCCGTCGTCTCAATTTTATCGCCCGAGAATTTGATTGATTCAATCCACTGTGACTAGATGTAGCATGTCAGCGTTGCAAGGCCCGTCATTGTTATCCTCATGGTGGTCGCCAAGGGCTTCTGCGCGCCATTTGAAGTAATGAGTGTGAGGCTATGCGGGGTATTGTCGAATACGAGTTCTCATAGCGCATCTCTCTTTGAAATCCAATTTTATGAAGAAGTGAGAGCCGCAGAACGCTGAAAAACACATAAAAAAAAACCCCAACCTTGAAGGTTTTCTAAAGCGATGCGCCTGGCAGTGACCATAGCAAGATTAAGGTAGCTCAGTCTTACATTGTTAACTCACAAACAGTTATACCTTCTTGAAATTGTTCAGTGTTAACAATGTTGTATATCGTATACTGCATATGAAGTATATGACGTAGCGACAGTCCACTCAGGAGTCCAATACACTGTTGCCATCCTGAGTCACGCTAGATTGCTTTCGAGGAGTCAAAAAGACAATTACCATATTTTTTTTTCAGGCTCCGGCACTTTTCATTTGTCCGTCCATTGCGTCACTCCTTGCACGATTTGTCCCAGAAAGCACACGTGTGCTAGGGTATCAATGAAGTCGGCCCGCTTCGCCTACGCTGAATTTGATCCATTTTGATCCACTTATTGGTGCTATTACATTACGTAGTACAAAGTCATTAAGTCAGCTGCCATGAGACTGCCATGTTGGAATGATCTCTGGACTCAATGTGAAACGAGCATGCCGAAGGTACGTGGAGAACGGACTTACCGATGACGGGAAAGCAACTTTCTTAGAGGATGTCACATCAGCGCTTCTGAAGCTTACACGGTGGATCGACTCCATTTGCGGTACGCGATACACGACTCATGCCGTTGCCCTGATCCGTAGTGGATCGGGCGTCCGAAGTCTAATGGCTACTTCCACAGGGCAAGGACCACCCCTCTCACGAACACCAAGGTTCACCAGAACTGCAGGCTTCGGGCCAGTTCCTCCGTATTGTCGAATAATCGTCTGATCTATATTTGACCTTCTCAAGGTATTGAACCCTGGACGGGCACTTTCTGGATCCTCTGAATTTCGGAAGTGGAATCTTCAATGGTTCATTGCATGCAGTTTCCATCGCGCCGATATCGAAGTTGACAGGCACAATCCGCTGAAATCCATCTTCATCAGGGCTTAGCTTAGCGCCCAAGCAGGCCACATGTCTCGACAAAAAAGAAAAACTTTAATTATCGGACTCCGGTGCGTAAGGAACCTAGGTATTCTGGTGGATATATCTAGGCACCAACTAGCTGAGCGCACGAATACCTACAGCGCTATTCCCTTTAGGCTTGGAAAGAGGGATCTTCCTGCAACCCTAACTGAACCAACAATTCTAATGATTTTCGATGCTTATATCTCACCAATCATTTTGTTGTGGTCCTTGGAAGGCTGAGCAATGCCCAGAGCGCAGTAAAATTTGTTAAGGCGCGACGTGATAAAAGGTGATCCAACATGCGCACGATCGACATTATACTCTCTAAATCTGATTCATTATGGTCTATGCGGGGGGGGGTGTCCCATCTCAGTATTCACTTAGTATGCAGCTTGTAAGGCCCATGGTATTGAGGCTATCAAAAGACTCTTTAAGCTGACAACCAGGGTGCTACCGGTGGCTGCATTTATCATGGGATGACAGACTTGACGCGATGACCGTGCGTGCTCTACAGAAATATCCAGTGTCTAAAACAGGACCAGCGTTGATCTTGAGTTCAGCATTACTCTTCAACATATCCAGTCAATGGTAGGCGCTGCTTTCCAACAGAGCGGACGGTAATACGCCGGTTTAACCGTATCAAATAGATAAACCTACATGGTCAAAAAGCTTCTGACTCCTGAGATATGATCATTAACAGTTCCATGCACATTACCCCTGAATACTTACGTTGCTTCAGGCGGACCTACACAGCGTTCCATTTCCTTCCCCACTTCCAGAGCAACACTTCACACGGGAACGAACGACCAGAGTAATCTGTTCAGACTGGGTTTGACTTCGACTCCACCGGAACATCAGCGTTCTGCCCTCCAAGCCACAACCAAGATTCTATGTCGATACTGGAGCAGGCGCAACGGTACCCGGGATCAGAAACCTAGATATCAGTCCGATCTCGGTCAAGAAAGTCTAAAAGCCGAATAGACCCAACCAGAAATACCCTCAAAACTTGAATCCTACTACACTAAGATAAAAGGAGTAGGTAGTGTTCGTTCTTATTACAGTTCGGTACTATGTAACTCTATATTACAGTTCATCACTATACAACTTCATACTGTAGCCTATATACTTGAATGACGTCAACTTGAAGGCACGGACTCTCTCTTTTCTTATGTCGCTTCATGGCTGTTCTGTGGACTTTTGTTATTTCGATTGTAATTTTAGGGAGGTAGAGGTACAAGGTGCTCCCTCTTGAGGCCGCCAGGTTAGAATTAGGTCCTTTTCTCTTTTCTTTGTATATAAGGGCAGTTAGTGAAACTCGATCTTACAGGCTTACATAGAGATGCTTGTATGGTATAGATAGACGTCGCCCCCAACGCTACGGTCTGTGAATTCTTGTTTTGCATCCTGCACCCAATCAACATGAAACCAGTCCACGCACGCCATCGAGAGTCGTATAAATAAAATAGTGTTTGCCTGTACACCCTCTTTGGAAGAAGCATATTTGTCGACTATCTTTGAGCAGGCTCATTGCAACTATGGAAATGCCCCTGGGAGTCTTGGAGAGCGACACGCGAGTGCCAGCGGCCATCGGCGCTGTCAGTAGCTTCCTCACAATCGCCTTTATTGCAGTTGCATCACGGGTTTACACCAGACGTTGCATTTTGAAACAAATGGGAATGGACGATTGGTCTGCTATCGTTGCCTATGTGAGTTTGAAGAGTTTGAACAAGACTTTAGTCTATCAACTCAAGAGCATTGAGCTTATATGAAGGCTTCCTAGTTATTTACGTTTGCCTGTGGTTTTGCCGCCGTATGGAGTGAGCAAACGTCCCCCCATTCCCCAACGCGATTCCTTAATAACTGACATCCACAAGATGTAAGAAATGGTCTTGGTCGCCACGTCTATTTTCTTTCAGTTGGAGAGGTCAAGGAGTTCATGAAGGTTCGTCGACGCCAAAATTCCCACATGCGAAACGCTTCGCTGACACCCTTTAAGACATTTTACGCATCCATCATCCTCTACAATGTTGCCCTTGGTGCCATCAAAATGACATTCCTTCTCCAATACTATCGCGTGCTGGCCGTGCAAAAGATGAAAAAGATCTTCATAGGCGCCATGGTCTTCGTGGGAGCTTGGTCGGTAACGCAGGTGCCTCTGATGATTTTCACTTGTACTCCTATTGCCAAATTCTGGGATACAAGCCTCCCGGGAACCTGCCTTCCCAGGGACCCTTCGTTGTACGCCAATGCAGCCGGTAACATCGTCACCGACATCTTGGTTCTAGTTCTGCCACTACCGATTATTAGCAGCTTGAAGCTGCGCCCTGGACAGAAGTACGTCCTTCTCGGTATCTTCTGCCTCGGCTTTTTGTACGTCAAAGACATGTTTCCATATCTCACCCCCAATTCCACTAATGCAGTTTTCGAAAGCACATGCGCAATCTCGGTCATTCGAATGCGTTTCCTCCACCTAGGAGCGGACTTTACATGGGAAAATGTTGAATCGGCAAGCTGGTCAATTGGCGAACTCTGCTGCGGCCTGACCTGTTCCTGCCTCCCGGCTTGCCGCCCTCTCGTTTCTCGCTTCATCCCCGCTCTTTCCTCTCGCGCCACCAAGTCTTCGACTCATCGTTCGAATGATAGCTATCGGAAGAGAACAGGAAACATATCCCGGCAGCGTGATGTGGAGCTCGGTGGGTCGACAAAGAGAAGCCGTCGGTTGACCCGCATTCCGAATCGATATGCCGAGTCTGTGGACAGCAAAACCGAAATGTACGTCATAGCGGATTACAGCATAAGCCAGGAGGACTGTGATCGCGAAGGGGACTTGCCTATCCAAGTCCCCGAAAGCAGTCATACAGAAAGGAAGACAGTGCCAGTCAGGCGGCAGCAATCCGTTAGGGATGATGGATACGGGTTCCGCGACGACGCAGTTATAGAAACGCGCATCGAAGCAAGGCCGGGTGTCCCTGACGACGAGGTCAGGTTGAAGCCGGGGAACTCCATTGAAATCACCTGTGATATTGTACAAGTATCTTCGCACAAGGTAGACAAGAGGCTTGCGTGATGGGGACGCTGGACAATAATGTTGCATGTTTAATTGGGT